TTCTTTTTCTTTTGACAGCCTCCCAGAGTCACCTATCTACCTCCAAATATGCCAAATATGCTCTCACAAGAATAAAAATGACTTGGAAAAAGAAAGCAAAGCTGTGCTTTCTAGCTGGCTAGCAGACTATGCCGTTGTTTTGACAGCCCAGAATTAGCTGAATAGCAAAGCTGCTAGCTGGCAGGTTACATTCAGGGTGGCGCTAACGTTACGCCAGGAAAGTCCGACAAGAAATAAAACAGCTCTAAACAAGACAGAACAACAACAATAAGAATTAACAGAAACAAATGAGAATTGTAGTATTCACCTGCTCCGGATGACCTGGTCTGTCCGTAGTCTGGCTATAGATACTACAGCTGACAGAGAGTTGTGGTGGGTACTCTGCTCTGCTCTCTCCACTATAAGCAGCTTCTCACAGTCTCTGGACCAGACTGGACCCAGAAACGACGGGAGGCAGGCATTCACTGAATGACGCCGCTCGCATGAGCTTGCATGAGCCAATCACATCGCACTTTATGAAAACTCACCAATCAGAGACTATCAGGAACAGAAAGGTATATTCCATAAACGAAGAAGCGTTTTTGTAGTTTTTATTCATAGGCCGAGTTTATAATCGTAAATGATCAAGAATTAAATCACATTATAACCATATTCCGCACTTGAGACGAATATATGTTATAGTCAGTTTTATATAATGTGATCTAGGTATCTGTGCACTACAGTGTTCTTCAATGCCCTAAACCAGCAGTTTATCTTTGCCAAAACTTGTTTGGCAAGCAGCTGCCATGTGGAAATTGAGCAATCACCTGCCAAACCACATTAGCTAAACAATCCAGTGTTCGTGTATTTGGTCTGCAACTAATCATTAATTAAAATATTGATTAAGCTATCAAGTATTTTTGAGACATCATTTTGTTTATTTTATGAAAGTGTCAGTCTCTGACCTAAAACAAGTAGGGGAGACCGGGGATAGTTGTAACGTGGGTCAGTTGTAACACTTCCAATTTCTCCAATCAGGGCTAAGTTTCAAATGATGTGACTCATCCTGTGCATGCCCAATTCAGTTCTGCTATCACATGTGAAAAATCAGCACATTTTGTCAAACACAGACAATTTAACATGAAAAAAAGTAATTTGTATGCCAAAAAGTAAGTTTTTCTACTTTATTTCAATTTCTAATAGCATTATCTGCTTTGCAGTTAAACTCATCAAACTTAAATTATGTTATTTGTATGTCTATGGGGATATATTCTGTGTAGGTCTTTAGTGCTAATGTTTTAGCCGTTGGCTGTAATGTTAGCTAGTTCATGGCTATAGGAGTCTGGGTCAGTTGTAACAGCAACAGTCTGGGTTAGTTGTAACAATAATGCAGATGTTACAACTTACCACACTATTACTTTAACTTATATTAAACAAGTTGGGGCAACGACATCAGCAGAGAGAGGTTCACTGGTCGCATTTGTATATGCGGTTAATGCCATTGGCAACACAATTCCTCCACTGTTTGTGTTCCCACACATACATTATGCAGACCACTGTGTCAGAGATGGACCAGTAGGAAGTACTGGTAGTGGAAATAAATCAGGATGGGTGCAAGAAACAGATTTCCTCATCTTTCTGAAGCACTTTGCAAACCACACCAAGGTAAGCCATGATAAAAAGTAATGGAATTGCGATGCTGGTGAACAACTACATTTTTTCAGCTTCATTGTTATGTTCAAAATTGGTGCAAGAGTTGTAGGTTATAATGCCCACTGAGCCAATGAGGCCAAACTCAAGGAAGACCAACCAAAATTAATGAAATATTCAGTTGCAGAAAATTCCATAATTTGTCTTTTTTGGGGGGTTGGAATATGTTCAAAAGCTAGATTTCTGCATTCTGTCACACACACACAGCTACATAAATGGATGTAAGTGCATTCATGTGTTGAATAAACAAAGATTACATGTTAATGTTTTGTTAGTACCCTTATTTCATTGTGTTACATTTCACCCCAGGATATGTTACAACTAACCCAGACTATGGGGTTAATTGTAACATTTCACTCTTTGTGTTTGAGACCATACCATGCAATGGGTAATTGTGCTGCAGAGAAAATAGCTGCATTATTTAATAGCAGAGACATGTAAATACTTTGCATTACATTTTGAATCCACTACCTTAAAAGAGCTTCAATTTACAGACAGAAATGTCAAAAATGTTACAACTATCCCCGGTCTCCCCTACTCAGAAGCTGTTTAAAGTCAGAGAGAGTCAATATGACTTAAGGGGAACAGATTTCTTTTTTTTTTTAAAACAAGATAAGGAAAAATATATATATAAAGCAGAGATGTGTTTCTGTTAGAGGAGTTAACCTGTGGAATAGTTATGACAGTGATTTAAAAAGGTGTAGTTCATTTTCCTTGTTTAAAAACATGTTTAAAAATAGAGAAATATATAAATCAAGAATGAAAAGAGCAAAAATAACAATACTGAAACTCTTGATGGTTTTGCTTTGATGTAGTTACTTATCTAAGGTGGAAAGTTTTTTTCTTTTCTTTTGTTTGTTTGTTTGTTTGTTTTTGCTTTGCTTTGCTTTATTCTTTGCTTCGAGCCCTGTGTACAGGAGCTGCATGCAAAAGATCTTTTGTTAAAAGGGTTGGCGTAATAAGCAAATGCTTCAGCCAATACCTTTTGATTAGCCTTGTCTCGTGCTTTCTTGCTTTGTGGTAATCTTTATTCTGTATTCACTGAGATATTTGAATGCTAATCAATAAATCAATAAATCAAATCAAACAAAAACATGTTTACATGCGAGTTTCTTTGGTTTGCTTTTGCAGATTATAGGACTTAAACAGTGTATTACTGATCACGGTTGCTAACTACAGGCAAATTGTTATGTTGATATACCAATAAACTATTCAGTTATTGGTTGTCTCTTCTGTTACACCAACTCTCTGCATCTCCAGCATCCATGAATCTTCTCTGTGCTCTTTTTCTTTCTTTTTTTGCCTGTAAGCTTCATATTCAACATCCTTTGTCCAGTATATCCACTATCCTCCTCTGCACATCTCCAAACCATCTAAGCCATGCCCCTCTAACTGTGCCTCCAAAATGCTCAACCCAAGCTGTTCCTCTGGTATACTCTTTTCTAACCTTGTCCTTCCTGGTCACGTGCGATGAAAATTGAAATTGAACATTGAACTGCTTAAGCAAGTTCACAGTACCATTTCAATTCAGTTTAGTTCAGGTTTATTTAAATTGCGCCGAATCACAACAGCAGTCACCTCAAGGTGCTTTTTACAATTAGGTAAAGACCCCACAACAATCCAACAACCTCCTGAGAGCAAGCACTTCACAAAGTTAGCATTTAACAGGAAAAAACCTAAAGCAGAACCAGGCTCAGAGGTTCTGCTGGAACCACGTGTTTAACAAAAGATATTGTCTTACTTTTAAGAAATAGTATTTGGAAGGAGTGACTTGACTCTGAAAACACTAAAATCTTATATCCACTGCTGCGCTGAAACAGATAATCTCTGTGGCAGGCAATGCATGATGACGTTACCTCAGAACTTTGACCTGATTATATCTCTGTTCTTCTGTTGCAATTGGGATATCTTATCACTAAAGTTTTATCTTCTTTGAATTAGTGCATTGGATTGACTCTATATAGATTACAAAGAGACAGATAAAACAAGGATGCTGTGTGTTACAAAAATAAGTACAGTTAAATAAAAAAAAATTTGAGAAAAGAATTGGATTCATTTGCAAAACAAAGAAGTTGGTAATATTGACAGGATCTCATATAACTTGTAAATTATAATTTTATATATCTTTACCGAGGTTTTAGAACTTTTGCTGTTGATAAAAAATGTTTTCAAGCAAATCAGTTTATCTCAGCAACCATCACAGATTTCATATCTTTTCACAAAGGTTTCTTGTTTACTTTGCGGTGTAACTGATGTTTCTTCAAATGTCAAGGACTTAGAGCGCATGAGTACATAATGTGATTTTAACCTTGTGTACTGATACCAAAACTGATAATTTTTCTCTTTTTAAAAGCACATGACAAAGTGTGCTCAGTTTCTCTGCTGGGAAATACAGCAGACAAACTACACATTGGAATTAGTTTTCAGCGTCGTACTTTAAATGTTTACGTGCAAAAATAAAGCTTGGGAACTGACATTTTTCTTCCAAATGCCTGATTAGGAAATGATCTAAACATTTGCTTATAAAACACCTTTCCAGCTCCACAGCTCTCTAATGAACTCACAGTCGTGTGGTCATGCAGGTTTGCATAACCTTGATTACTGTTGCACCAGGTTCTCGTTGCTAATCCAGCATTTAAAGCTTTTTTTTTTGTTGCTCTGTGTTATTTTGGAGTTTGTGGCCATTTGAATGATCTGTTGGTTCTGTAACAAGTGGAGAAACACAGAAGACTTCCCTGCTTTATTAAAGTCAGGAAGATGGTTTTATTTGGCTAAATAATGGAATCATAATGATTCAATGTTTCATGAACATTTGAGCATTTACAAGTAATCTGTGCACAGTAAACTTGATCGTGTAAAAGTAGAAAATTAAGAAATGCCGGGGAGAAACTGACCTGATTTCTCTCAAATAAGTCATTGTTTACCTCACATTATAAGTAACTTTCCATTAGCTATCAGTGCAGAATTTAATAGGCGTGCGTTACAGTGTTTCTTCAACTGTTGCTGGGATCCAGGTATCCACAACATGACACAACACACCTGTACACACCTAAACCAGATTCACACCTGTGTTTTCTTCTTTGCTAAGGTAAGTGTCACTTAGAGTCATTTTCTTTTGGATCACACTGCAAACTACGGTTAAAATGGTTAAAAATTATCTTGAAGAGAACAGCATATTAAAGTTGCAAATTGGGTGACTGTTAGTGATAGAAAAGTTTATCTGTAATTAAGAATAAACTCATCTCCACAGGTTCAAATAAAGCAATAGAAAGTTTTATTTTAGCAAGCTTCCCCCCCCCCCCCTTCATGGTCACTTGCACGTGTCCTCGCAGGGTTTACAGAAGAATAGAACACCTGATGTAACACCCACCAAACCTGTTAAGGTTACCGCACCTCTCATTCTCTCCTTCACAGGCCAGGGCAAGTTTTAATTACTAACTAACGTAGCTTTCAGTTAAGCAAAGTTGCCAAGCCAGACAAGAAGACTATGCATTGCTAATTGTTTTGTTCCTTAGGTGTAGTTTGCTAGATCTGAATACTGAGTCTGTTTTGGCATAACACTTGAAAAGGCCCTGAATAATTAACAAGACTGGCTTAACTTGATGTTAGTATATTCTCGTGACGCCTGGTTGCTTTATGTTTGGCGTCACTCTTCATTAATAAACATGTTGGTTTCTTACATCTTTCCTCATTGTGCAGTGTTTTTTTTTAACCTGAATAAGCATTTTGTGTAATTACAAACCGTGCGATAAACGTCAATAAGGACGAAAGAAGTTGTTGCTGTATTGATGTGGGAACTGACCATACATGGTTTTTCCACATCTACAGAAGATTAGATGTTCTGGTTCATTGGGACTCAGTGATCCATTCTGCTGCGGCCAAATCTTGCAGAAAGCATATGGTTGAATGAGCTTATGGATAAGTGTCTGAGCATCTTTGGTTAACTTGGTCTTTGAGCTCCGAAAAAGACACAAACAGAGCAGCCGACTCAGAATCAGGCTTTTGAGTTACTGTGCGCATGTGTGTGTGTCTGAAAAAGTGGGGTTGTGTCTCTCCTTCAGTTCAGCTAATCCAGATCAGAGCGTTTGCATATAGATCTCTTTAACCACAACAGCTGCTGGATAATCTATAAACACCACGTGTGACATCCCCATGTGTAGTTTGCTTCTGGCATAATGTACAGCCTCAGTAAAATGATGAAAAGCAGCTTTTTGTTGATGCTAAATACAGTAACTAAAATAAAATGCAGTTGAATACCAATGACATTATAACACTTTATCACCGTGACTCACTATGGTTTGTACAAAGAACAACATGTTCTGCATAGTAAAACACATCAGATTTGTTGTAGTTCACAGCTATTTGCTGTTATTTTTTCTCCCATAATGGAGGATTTCAGCCTCTTAGGTTGCTTTTTGCTGGACATGGGACAAGCAACCAGAGCTTCCAACTCCTTCTCCAACATGTGGGGAGGACAGGTTGTACAGGAAATGAGCTCATTGCTCAATGTCAGAACACCTCTGAGAAAGGAAACAAATGTTATGATAAATTGTGTGAGTCATTGTCACAGTAATGTAGTCCAAGTGCATAAGGAAGAAAATATGCCGTTAAACTGGTTAGGCTAAACAACTAACAAGCTGGCAGTTAGACGCCAAGAGGTCTTCCTGGAGCCGGGTCTCATTAATGGTGTTCCTGACCGGTTTGCAAACATTTTCTGGTCATCTTTAAGTCAGACAGTTTGGCATCCATACTCTTCTGAACTATTTTTGTAAACATAACCAGTAATATTCTCACGGGATGAGAAGGCCTCATCAAAGAAAGGAAGAATTACTCACTGTTGGTTGTTTGTTTCAGAGAGTTCAACTTAGCGGCATCACAACAGCAGATGGCTGTCAGGTAAAAAGGATTAGACCGACCATCAGGTTACACTTTCACTCTCCTAATCTCCATTAAATGCACACATATGCCGATGTGCCACAACATTAAAACCACCTGCCTAAAACGGTGGGTTCGGATGTCCCCTTGTGTCCAGTGCTGAGATACTGAGAGCAGCCCTGCTGCTTCCTGTGGTCCCCTAAGGATTTGCCTTGTTTAATTACACACCAATGATTTTTTTATGTGATTAGGATCTGCAGAGCTTTGGTGCTGCCTCGTTTTGTAGTTTTGTCTGGCTGAAGAAGGCCAATTCTGCCATGGAGCTTGTTTTAATATTGTGGCCGATAGGTATGCATTTGTAGATACACAACCAACACGTGCACACTGAAATGATCATACTACCTAACCAGCAAGTGCAGATTGCCTACAAAAGTAGGTGAGGAGGATTACAGAGGGACAGCGCTGTAGGTCGGTCATGGTGCTCTGGTCAGTAGTCTAATCCAATTACTCGTGAGCAGCTAAAAGTAATGGGATTGTTAGTAAGGTCGCCGTACAGACCTGCTTAACCGTGACTGTGCACTTGACATTCAGCTTTGGGCAAATTCTGCTGGGATATTTTACAGTTGCAGATACATGATGAAGCCATCCTGCTGGTTCCATAAAGAGGCTGTGGGAGAATCCAGCCTTGATGATTTAGATATAAAAGAGCAGAAGAAGAGTCCAGGACTGGACAAGCTGTTTGGCCATCTGATGGGATCAAAGGTCTCAATGAGAAGTGAGAAAGTTAAGAAAACTGAATGATTAATAAGTGTAAGCTACTAATAAATCAGATCCTTAAGGTCATTTATGAATATACATCATATTTTATATTTTTATATTGGGAAAAAAAACCAATACATCCACATAAAAACAATGGACGTGAGAACATTCATGTCTTTAGGCTACTGTAACACTGATATGATCAAGAAAGAGTAATTTAAGGTTCATTTAAATGTAAATGTGCAGATTAAGTCGAGATTAAATGTCTTGTTGTCCCTAATAAAGTTCTGCCTGTACCTGAGAAAACAGCCACCCCGATGACAAAGACGTGTCTGTGCTTATTATGTTGATGGGGAAGACAGGGAAAAATGTTGGCCCGGATAAAAACTTTCCCGGAAGAACTGCAGCAGACGTAAAACACAGAAAACCTCATTTTTTTTCAAAGAGTAGTTTATCAAAAGAATACACAGTAATGCTCATGTATAAAAACATAGAAAACAGGAGAATCAAAAACAATAATAAAATATACTTTCTGTTCTCATCTACTATTTGTTCTTTTTGTTAAAAGTAATAAACCTGCAGTCCTCTCTGTTTTTGCACGTTCATGAGTTTCCACGGCGCGCTCCATCCTCACCTGCTCACTCTGTCCTCTTCGTGCCAACTGCATCTAACATCTGTATCACAACTGAGCCAATAGAAACGGGCTAAAAAATCACGCTACGACAGGACTGCTAAGTCGACACCACGGGGGCTGTTTGCTGCTCTTATCGAGTTGCGCCACAACGCGAGATGAAGATGTCCACTCACAGCGAACGTGTCTCTCAGTGTGGCTTCATTAAGGCAGGTACAGCACATTAATCTCACTAATGGAGGTTTTGCTCACTTTGCTGTCACGTGAAGGTCACGGAGCCGGACGGCCGATGTGAGCTGCTTGTTTAAACAGCCGTGGTGTCAGGATGGCTTCAACCACCAAGCCTCATTAACCTGCATAGTCACACTTGTCAGGTCACGGGTGCAGGATTACTGCTTTGATGATACAAGGAACAGCAGCAGCTACACCCTCTGCTGCTACTTGTACAAAACAGGTGGTGCATTTAGTCTTTTGAAGAGTTTTTTTCCCTGAACCTCACTGTGTTGTGAAACAGAAACAGATGCAGCTTGTGCGCGCATTTGTGTATTCCTACTTTTCATTTATTCATCTTTTTGATTAATTTCCTACCTTATTTACACCACCAATCGGAACTTTTCTGCATTTCTGCCGTGCATGATAACACATCTCTTAAATCTCAGAATCTCTCTCGCAGGGTTAAAAGGTCAGACAACATACATGGTGACACAAGTGATCACTTTTCCCAAAGCATCAATAGATTTCTCTGAAGGGTGGGGTCCAAACTGTGTCCTGGGTTTATTTGAGTCTCTTTAAATAGCAATCAAGAGTTGTGTATTTATTTATTATTTAATTATATATTTATTTTTTCATCTCACACCAGTCACATCTCCTCTCACAGATCATCCTCAGTATCATTCATTGTCCATCAGCTTTGCTTGTTTCCTTTATGATTGTGATCAGGACTCCAAAGACGACAGCAGAAAGCGATGACAGAGGGTGGGGGGAAATAAAAATCCGAGGTGTCTTTTGCCCTACCTTTCCATCCATTGATGTGTTATCTACTTCCAAAAAATATGCTGCACAGGTGCTATGCAGTTTTTATTTATTTTTATGTTTTTTGCTTTTTGCTTGGCTTGATGTGAAATGGTGGGAGATGAGGACATTTGTCAGAAATCTGATTTTTGTGCGTCTAATCCTGAACAAAACTCTCCAAACATCACCGTCCCGTCACCTCCGGCGCCCTTAGTCGTCACCGCCGCCTCCTCCAAATCCTGAAGTGCGCTATTTACACACAAACTGATCCACGAGCGTCGTGCAGCGTTTGCACTTGACGTAGCAGCACCAGTGGAACTTGCAGTGGCAGCGCTCGTGCTTGTAGGTCTTAAACTGGTCGTAACCTCTGCCGCAGCACATCAGCTCGCAGCCGTCCATGCCCTCCGAGGTTTTGTTGCAGAGTCGGCCCTGGGTGCCCAGCGATCCTGTGGTCTCATTGCGGAGGCAATAATCCGGGCTGGGGTCGATGTAGACCATGTCCTGAGTGGTGGGTGGGTTGAAGCGCTTGTCTAGAAGCTCCAGCTTTCCCTGGTGGATCAAGGACAGAATTAGCAGAGGCAACACTTAAAATGGTTCCTGAGGGAGGAGACAGAGACATGAATGGATTTAGTACCTTGCGTCCGACCCGCATGGCTGCTGCGCTGTCGTATTTCTCTTTCAGGAACTCTCCAACACGTCTGAAGTCGGCCAGCTGGAGCCAACAGGTCTTCAAACTGCAGGAACCCGAAACTCCATGACACTTACAGGCCACATTAGCCAGGTTGTAAACCGCCTGTTGGAGTAATAGAAAAAAGACATAAATGTTAAATAATCAAAATGTATACAGAGATCAAAAACCCCCAAAACTCCACATTAGTTTTTACACAATAAATTTTCACTACAGACATAGATGTAGACTTTATTTAATCCCACATGGGGGAAATTCACAAAGGACAGGAAGTGAATAAAGAGATATTAAGAAAAATAGTCTACATACTATACTACTAAAGGTTACTATATACAGTAAAATACACTAAGATAAGTGCAGTGGGAGGGATTACTATGCACAAGCTGAAGCAAAATAACCCATGTTTCTCTTTCCTCCTAATACCTGTCATTGTGATGCTTCAGTCTCACCTCCAGGTCAGCAGCTTTAGCTCCAGCTCTGTGGTGCAGATTTACAATCGATTTGCTGCTAAGCTGCTGCCATCTAGTGGTAAAAATCTGTAACTGCTCAACTCTCATCATTACAGCGAGCACATAGTGAGAGGGGAACATAAAAAAGCATCATGGAGCTGCTACACTGTTGGAACGGCCAATTAAAAGACCCCAAAATATAAAGAAGAGATGAGTCGTGCAAACGTTGCTGCACACACACACACACACCTACATACACACACACAGCAACATTTTCTCCAAAACTGGCTTTGTGGAGGCAAAATTATGTGTTTATTTAAGAAACCTCTGTTAGGTGGGCTATACAATGAATGCAGAGTGAAACAGATAAACAGGAGGGAAAATGGAAAGCAAAGAAAATGATTTTTTTTCTCCATATGTGCTGTTCTTTGACGCTGCTGTCAACATGACCCCACCAAAGTAAAACAAACAGCTGACTTGGAATAAAAGGCCCGCTAACTGGAGGAAATGTTCCTCTATTGTAAGTAGTCTTTCCCACATAGTTCCCATAGAAAAAACTATCCCTTGAAAATAATTGGAACATGACAATTATTGATTTAAACACATGAACAAGCTTTTTTTCCCTCCTTAAGATAAAACAGCTCCTACTTTACAGCGTTTGGCCTTGTTAGAAAAACAGGAACAGGAAATCTAAGATTTATTGTCCTCACAGCAGTGGGCTTTAGGGGGAGCCCTTCACCCCTGCAGCTTTACCAGGTCAATTAAACCGCAATATAAACAAACCAAACAACCCACACCCACACCCCAAGCATAGACACACAAACAAGTACAAATTGTTCTTGGTATTGTGCAAGCACCTACAACCACTTAAACAAACTCCAGCGCATCTCCACGCAATTCTTGCCGAATAGAGTTCTTCTGACTCCCGATTTCCCCCGATTCACCCTCAGACAAATGAAACCCATCACTCTGTCTCCTCACACTGCCTGATCTCAATTACCTTCTCACCTCTGTTAACCCCGGCGTCCCAAACAGCCTCCCCAGCGACCCCCACCTTCCACCCCTGTTCCCTCTCCTCTACTTTACTACCCAGCAGGCATAGCACTCGGCACCCTCCAATCCCATGAACCGACCTCAGTGACCCCCCGTCAGTCGGGGAACAGGGGACAGTGTCATTTTGTGGAAGGGTAAAATGATTTTTGGTGATTCTCTCTTTGATACGTTCTTAAGTTTAACTTAAACTGAAAGAACAGAAGAAATAGAAAGGCCATATAATACAACCTTTCAGAAATGTGTTGAAGCTTCAGAAGAATGGGACTCTGAGAATTAAGAAAAACTTTCAGATATCAGTTTAAAGGAGGAAATTCTCATGTTTTATGACTCCTTGCCAATTTTACGAGCCTTTGTTTTCACTGAGACTCCCGACTGTGGTTTATGACATGTTTACAGCGACAGTAACATTTCACGTAACAAGGATGGGGAGGCCATTACTATGTTTTCTGTGCCAATCTTCCCAATTAACATTTCTCCACAACCAGTGCTTAATTTTGTGACTTTGTTTCATTTCCTTCATTACTCTGAACATCATTGTTTGATGTATAGAGCTTTTCATTACATACTACTACCTGCCAATAGCCTCATGTTGCTCAAACCAAACCATGCATGTGTCCAGCATCACACTGAGCTATTTGGTAGGTCATGCCTGCTGGGCACAGTGACACTGGACCTGATGAACACACAGACACACACACACAGACACACACACACGCACGCTCAGTGATCCGTGGTGGAGACAGTCTCTGTGTCAGGCACAATAGGTTTTTACTCAGACAGGGTTAGGGGTTTAGGAGCTGTGTGCGTGTGTGTGTGTGTGTGTGTGTGTGTGTGTGTGTGTGTGTGTGTGTGTGTGTGTGTGTGTGTGTGTGTGTGTGTGCATGCAGAGTGAGAAACAGAGAACACAGCCCACCCTTTGTGGCAGTGTAAGCAGTGAATGAGGAATGAAAATGGCAACACGTCTACCTGCCTCATCCTCTTTTTTTGCTCTGTGAAGGATAATGTTGCTATATTTGGCTACATTGTTGCCTATATTTTAATCTAATCATGTGAAGGAGGACTGAAATTTGTTTGCTTCTTCAGATGCTTTTGATGCTCTGTAATGGGCAGATTTAGATTCCTTCAAAGATTGCTCTAACACTGAAAGAAAAAGCAAAAAATGAACTTTCAGCTACATGTGTCCACCAAGCTGCAAAGCACCAGTAAATGTGTTTCTATACTGGGTGAAACTGGCCCATGCATACTCTATCTGCTTGTGCCAGCACTTAATTGAAGCTTCTGGATTACCATACGTATGCTGAATTAAATAAACTGAGCTTTTAGGAAACACTTGGGATGTGCTGGGTGCGATTTTCTCGCACATTTCATTGCAATAAAGTAAGACCTGATATCTTTGGAACAGTAAGGCATGATACTACAGATAGTGATGACATTTCACCAAAAAGTAAAGACAGATAAGCACCTAAAGTGCCACGTGATATCCCCCCCCCCAATTAACAAAAGGACCCGGGGGCTGACATAGTGATTGAAAATGATCTTGTGTGTTCAGAGCAGAGGCATCTCAAAAAAGGCCGGGAATGTATGTCTGGCTGTTTTTTGGGTCTGTGTAACAAGCGCTGCCTCATTTGATTTATGTGGAGACAGTGGAAGTTAGTAGCTCTCTGCGTGTGTATTTGTGTGTGTGTGTCTGTGTGTGTGTAAGTGTGCGAAAGTCTTTGAGAGTCGCAGAAGTGTGACGGAGGTCCATCCCTCACCCTGTGTCTCTGTCTCCAGACGTTTGTGCACACGGACGACCACGTTGTCCACCGCTCACACAAATCAAATGAGGCTGCAAACACACACACACACACGGGGACACACACACACACACGGACACACACACACACACGGACACCGCTGTCACCTCCACAAAAGCCCTGTGGTTTGCCTTGTTCAACCAAGCAAGACAAATCCTGCTTAGGACAAACCAGCGTGTCCACGATAGAAAGACAGAAAGCAGGGTGGGGCCGGGGGGATAGAGAGAAGGAGAGAAACTGTCTTCCTGTCTGTGGCTCTCCTCCTTTTCATCTCTCCCTTTGCCTCTCTTCCGTTTCGATGGACAGACAACAATGAAAGCAAAGGATCAAACGGGAGACAGGAGGAAAAGTCATTCAAAAAAGCATGCGTATGTCACTGAACTGTGCGTGTGAAAGGTTGCTGCAGCAGTAGATCTTTCCCTCATATACTCTCGTAGAGCCCCAAAGGGACTCTCAGCAGAAACACAACCTCTCCAGACCCTCACCTTTGACCTCTGACGCACACATGCACAAAACTAGGCTCACCGTCTCATACACAAATCAAATGAAGCTGAGGTGAGCACACACACACACGCACAGGCAGCGTCTCTGTCTTGTAAACAGCTTAAACAAAGCTTCTCTAAGTGAAGATAAACGTGTTCTCCTGTTCCAGGGAACACCAGAATGGGCAAATGGAGAGTTTACGAGAAAGGTGTGTGTGTGTGTGTGTGTGTGTGTGTGTGTCTGCGTGTCTATGTGTGTGTGTGTGTGTGTGTGTGTGTGTTTGTGTGTGTGAGTGAGAGAGAGAGAGAAAGGCAAGAGGTTTCTTTCTCTCCCTACCTGAGAACCTTCCAGACAACTTCAGTTACTAGACCATTTGTTGAATCACCATCATTGCCATTGTTCAGTAACTGGAGTGGAAAGGAAGCTTAATGACCATCATACCACCCCAGCTTTGAGTCTGTCTCTCTTGTTTTTAATGTCTTGTAAAATTTCCTTTAAAGCCCCTCTCAGTGTTGGATTTTTGAATGTCTGTGTATGTGCCTGTGTGTTACACCGGAGGAATGTGCTCTGACCTGTCAGCCCCGCCAGACTCCAAGGGCGTTACCAGTATACCATTTGGACCCTCCCAATAAATAACCCCCACACACAGGCATATAAATACTGCCCGGTCAGGCAATCAGAGGCCCACTCAGCTTACACACATTCCTGACAGGGAAACGTCTGAAGAAGACAACAGTAACCTTGGGAAAGTTAACACAGCGATGGTTTTGTTGAGAGATAAAGCTTTTTTTCGTTGTCCCATACCTGTCTCCCTGCTTCATTATTATGCAAGTTCATCAGCATCCGGGCATGCTCGGGTGACCCTCGGGGGTAATTCTTCTCCCTCTCCCTGGCGTCGACAAACTCCCGAGCAAACCTGTAGCCGTAATGCACATTATCACCGCAGCCACCCCACAGCCAGTCACGCGGCAGGTCTCTGGGGCGAGCGGCGCGGCTGCAGCCGCAGGTGGAGAGCTCGCCCTCGCGGCACGCACGGCTGACGGCATTGACCACACCGGCTGCGCTGATGGCGTAGGTGAAGGCTGTTTCCCTGGAGCCTGATGGAGGAAGGAAAACAGGAGTTAAGCATGTGAATTCTGACACACAGTAAAGCTGCAGTTTTGCTGTCACATCACTGACAGGAAACACAGGTAGCTGCACAGCTAAATAAGCCCTTCTCTCTCTCTCACACACACACACGCACACATACGCACACACAAACACACAGCTAACAGCCCCACACCCCACTTGAACTAACAATAGACAATAGAAGTGATTTGAGGCCCTGACCTCATACCTGGTTAACTCCACAACTTTAAATGCCAGATCATGCACGTGCAGCATTTGATGATGTAAACATATCGGTTTCTCCAGCATATCAGTTTTCCTCATGTGGTCGGCCTCTGGGTATATCTGTCCAAGTCCTGGCTACTCAACCATAACGTTAAAGAGTTACTTCTACCAGATTACAAATCATCATTGCAGCACTCATGCGATAAAAACTGAACTCGTGGAGCTCAGAGCCAAAAGGAAATACATCTGAAACATTCCTTCCCCCATTTTTTTACTTTAAAGAAGAGAGATTAGTTGAAAAAATAAACAAATAAAGAACTTTCAGAAGAATTGTACTGCTGTATCCTCACCATTGTATGGGTCTAAAAGCAGAAATCTGAGTGATGGATATCCTAAAAGCAAATAAAACCGAACTGTCTGCATGACTCGATGGCTCCAGAGATAATCTGTTTGTGTAAATTGGGTGAACTGACCCTTAAAGGAGATAACATGTAGGAATAAGAAGAAAGGAGCTGGGCAAAAATCCATGGAAGAAACTTCTGGGAATGTTTGTCACACTGTGCATTTACTGTAGATGGTCATCTCACAACAATTTACATAATTTCCAGCCAGAGTAATGCACTTTGAAGGAGTTTGCTTAAATGCGACTAGCTTCTAATAAACAACTGTATTTTTACAGTCTTGGTCACTCTTTGAAGTGGCCTGGGTGCAATACATTTCACAGACTGGTCCATATTAATGATTTCCATTCACTAACACCAACGTGGAATACACAAAACAGCCTGCTTGTCCTATTCTCTGCATTAATACACACTTCAGCGCACAAAGAAGTGACAAGGACAAGGACAACGGCCTGACAGGTGGAGACTAAGTGCTCTGAAACACCATGATTTACATGAGAATAACAAGGAGCTTTGAAGTGCTTTTCCTGGTAGAGGCAGCATTCACTGAGATGATTAGCTTCAATATGAGTATTTGAAAAGGGCAAAATATCTGTATTTAAAATATACCATATGCACGACCTTACTGAGTGATCTCTACACCCTCTGTCCTTGCTTCCAGCATAAAGCTTCTACAACAGTGCTTATTTAAAGAGTAACCTTACACAGCGCTTACCTTCAAGTTCAATTTAAATAAAGATTTAAACAAAATGTGCTTTTTGTCTTTCTCACCATCACCTTACTGTCATGGTCTCTACAGCTACAATATTGCAGCTTTTTTTTTTAAATATTACCCTACTTCACATTATTCTTATACACATACAAACCATTTATTAGTATTTATGCCCTACTCTAATATACAGAACGCAAAACTTTCACTTTCCTTTTTTTTCCCCCCTTATTTAAATAGCGCACAATGGTCTCTATATTAGACGATTTCTGTGGCCCCGAAACAACAGCAGCCAGCCAAGACAGGAAGGTATGCATGCATATATCCGTTCATGCTATGCAGCAGGATAAAGAAAGCCAGACAAGACAGGGAGATAGAGAGCGAGTGGTTTTATGAGACTGCGGAGCCTAGACTTCAAATAGCAGGTCCGGATCTGCCGGCTCGGTGTCAGCTCATCAGTGCATTTCAAAAGAAGAGCCGCAGGACAATGGACCGACTAACACCTCCATATAAACCTGGAGCTAGACTGTCAACAGAAAGACAGGCATGGAGGCAGAGTGAGAGAGCCCGCAGCGGATTTGGCACATACTTGTTGATGAGGCGATTCCCACATCGCCTGCTGGGAATTAGACGCGAAAGTTATCGATCCGAAAATCTGCGCTCCGGGTATGTGTTTATTAAAATACTGGAGATATGCATAAAGCGTACATGCCTTTCCTGTTTTATGCCTACTGAAGTCTTCCTTTGTGACTGCTTCTTTTTCCCGTCTTTTTAATCGAAGGACTAAATTTTTCGTTTTAGTGCGCCTGCGTAAAGTATACCGGCTTTTTTCACGGTAATAGTTGGGTCGAAATGAATATTTCAGATGTTGTCATATGTTGGATTTTTAATGAGGTTTTTCAGTCTGAATTTGAGTTCTGTTTCTCTTTATTTTATAATTTCTTGGGATTGTTAATGGTCGATTTCTTTAAATAGAACAGCATGCGCTTGGCATTATCATGCCTAAAATGCGGAAATAGGAACATTTTGAAGGACATTTATTTTACACACATATTATATTCTAATGACATCACTTTTTATAATGAGAAATATGGGACATCTTAATATCTCTAAAAATAAATTTACACTGTCCTTATATATGTGTGTTTTATGTGTATTTATATGTTATATGTAGCATCTGGCTTAACACTATTTATGTGATATGTCTTTTATGCTAATCTTAATGCCACTGCACTAACAAACAACAATCTTTCCACTTCTACTGTGCTATTTCACCTCAAGTTACCCGTCTTTTTACCACATAACTCATATCTATATATGCCATATTTTATTGGATACAATTACAGGCTAAAAAATGTAATCAAAACCTGTAGCTACCTATTTTATAGAATGTGACCAAAAAGTGGAATAAATCTTCTTTTTAAAACTGATAATCTTAAAAAAAATCACCAGAATAAAACTATAAGAGAGAGGAGACATATGCTGCCACAATGAAGTAAGAGCTGTAGTTGAAAGCGAGCCTTTGGCTGGATGCTGAGCCTCCGTAATCTGTTGCTTATATGGTGTTTTGAAACAGGCCATCACACATTAGCTGTGGTGCCGCTGACATTTCTTTATCTGTCTGCTTTGACTGAGGGCCATAAAACCCACACACATGTAATCTGAATTTTCTAGGATGGTAGGAGCTCAGTTTGAAATATCTTGTGTTTAAGAAGCAACAGAAACAGAGCTGACATAAAAAAACAAGCACATGTAAGCATTTATAGAATAGTTGGTGATAAGATTTTGAAAAGATAAAATCCCAGAAAAAGAACTGAAAACACAAGATTGTAATTTGCTGTTAGTCTCATATTGTCTGAGAGCTTTTAAAGGCTGTGTCATGCCCTTTTAATCACATTTTTTTCCTCCTCAGTTACAGTAAACTCACCAATCTGCATGACCCGCCCAAACACTGAAGTGTTGTCCACTGTGCTGCAGTTCCACCTCCTCTGTCTGAACTGGTACTGACATTCCTTGATGCCTGTCTTGGCTCCATCTCCAATATAGGTCATGTGGTCTTGGTACAGCTGGCACAGCTTCCTCTGACCCTGCAGCAGCAGAGATAAGATTAGCAGACATTAGCTGGTTAACAGTTTTATATTTCAGTGGTACCTGCAGGGAAATTGCGCTTTTATTCGACCAGCTCCCCAGTTAGGTTGCAAAAGGGTACAGAAAAGGAAGTGACAAGAAGATCGCTTATTCTTAAAAAAAAAAATCATGCAGAAGAATCAGAGGTGCAAAACTGAGATATGCTTTTATTCTAACAAAATAAAAGCCTTGTTGACTTAGAGGAGAATCGTTTCCAAAGCACACAGATACTAACTTACCTGGGAGAGACCAGACAGCTGACTGCAGAGAGGCTGAGCTCCAATAATGTACATCTCTGGCCGCTGCATCGGGGTCAGACCGAGTGACCTGAGAGACAGAGGTCATTTCAACTGAGAATTTACCCTTTAAAAAACCGTAGATGTTGAAATTTAAACAGAAATGCCTCAAACTGAGTTTATGGAATCTGTGACTCCTTTGTGAGTAGAGGTCAGCACAGCAGAGGGCAAAAATTCAGACACATGCTGGGTTTATTGGTACAAGTGGCCAATAAAATATAGATAAGAGTCTTCTGGTGAACATCTCTGCAGCCACTTCCTTTCCTTTCAAATCTGACTGCCTAACACAGAAAAATCATGTAATAATCTATTCAGATCACCTGGGCTATGAAAGTTTCCCTTTTAGTCTTGAACATGAGTGCAAACTACTGAGTATCTCAGGCTGTTTTAACGGCTAGACTTCTAAGATGGACATCTGGTCCTGTAATTTCATTCTGACCTCTAGGAGTATCATTCCACAGAGCCACCCTGAACTGGGCCACCGCAGTAAGTTTTTGTAAGTCAAGAACAAGTGTGGCTAATTTGCGATCCTGTAGGCACAGCAGCAGCCCGCCATGCAATGCCATTTGGGGCTCAGCCAGAGTAAATATTGTGACAGAGCCTTCACATTTGTTCCATTCACTGTTAGTGTCCCACCACTAGCGCACCACGCAAAACTAACCCCCAAAACACACACACAAGCACAGATGCAAGAAGCAGCACAAAGTGAAGCCATGGCTCAAAGAAATTCCATTCATTATGCTTCAGCATTACAGAAATCAACAAAAATTGGTCTATTGTGCGAATCTGATGTTTTTCTTATTTGCTCTCTTGACGGCACAAAATTTGGGGAGGGTCACTCACCCACGTTTTAGTCGCCGTTACTCTACTAACCATAACTTTCAGAAACCAGTGCAAACCAGTGCGCAATCATTTACTTACCACCACGAGTTCGCGTCCACCATCAGCAGTTGCGAGCTGCAGACAAGGAAGGCGGCAGCCAACAGCAGATGTCGGACGGCACCGGTTCGTTTTGTCCGGACAGGCCTGTTGTCCATGGTCCGCCGCTTCAACGCCGGGAAAGTGCTCTGCTGAGGAGACATGAGCAGTGAATGAGGAGTCGTCCTGCTCAGTCTTTTTAGAGGCCTGACGGGAGGCAAAGCGGCGGGTTTGAGTACGACGAAATCTGCTCCTACCGACCACTTGTTTCTTCTGCCTGCTGTATCCTCTCGTCTCTAGTTTGATCAACTATATTTACAAAAAGCAATTTTTAAAAATCCAATAAAAAGACGGAGATTGTAATTTTCAGGTGACCTTACTGTCGTTGGGTAATCTGAAATCACATTAACGTTTTCCTAAAGGTCAAATAATCCAGTTTATTCGCTGAAATCCCAGGTCTAAGTCGTGCGTAAAATACTTTGGTATGAGTTTGGATTTTACGCACAGAGCGATATGAATTCTCCCTGGAGAAATCCAGGGCCTTATGATAAAATAAATAAAACAAAAGTACAAAAGTAAAAAGTGCGATCCCGTTTTTGCCTCAAGAAAAGATTAACAAGGATATTAAAAAACTAATTGAGCAGCAAAGCGACTGTTCCTTGCCCTTCCTGTCCCCTTACGGCCACTCTACTACTACCACCACTATCTCTTTCTCACGCACACACACTCTCTCGTATACACTCCTCCTCCTTCTCTCACCCCCACTTCACCTCAGAACCCTCTTCTGCCCTCCCCTCCTCAGTCCTCTATACATTATGCACCGGTGATTGTGTGCAAGAAAATCAGATGACTATTTAACACTGTGAACTTTCAACGCCAAACCACTTCTAACACCTGTGAGGACTATGAGGTTGTTGTTCACTGGGATTTGACATGAGCAAAAACTTGTTAGATAGACAGAGATTATCTCTGGTGACCATTTTAAGCATCACCTCCGGAATAACACAGCTAATACCTTTTCTAATCCCTTTCCCCCTCTCTGATCAGCGTTTAATAAACGGTCCATCAAGTTGGGACATTTTACTAAGTTAAATTAAAAATGAAAAGTGTTTATTTATTTACGTTTATGTCTGGGTGAAATGTAATCAGGACAGTGTTTCAGTGTTTAAACTGTATATATAAAATATCTTTTAGTAGAGGGATTACTCTGGGGCGTTTAAGCGCAATACGCGAACAAAGTTCAAAGACGTGATGGGGGTCGAACGTTTTGGAAAAACCTCAATCAACCCTACAAAAAAAGTTCACGTGGGTCAGATTCCTTTGACTAGCTGAAGTGAATAATTTGTTTGAATAAAAGGTGAGTGCTTCAAAATCGCCTAATCCTCTCTCTTTTGGTCAGCAAATATAAAAGGCGATGCTACCACGTCTTACACACAAACATTTCACATTTGTAGCTGGACACACACACGCGAGCGCGTTCAGGAGTAATGAAAAGTCTAGAAGTAAAGAGAAGGCGTGTTGAAGCGAGTTCTCCTCAATTCATAACCCGGTCAAAAGCAAACTACGATGGGTCGGTGGGCGGTGAACCTGCGGAGGAATAGGCTGTTTAATGTGGTTCAATGCCTCTCAAAAGAGCGCGTCCACAACTGGAGGGAAGAAAAAGGAAAAAAGACTGGAGTTCCTGAAGTCCAGAGAAACTACTCAGAACATTAATCAAGCAGGTATATACTGGGCTTCGTTAGAGCATTGACCACTTTTAAAACCACCATAAGGTTCACCAAGTTCAGAAACAACGACGGGATACGAGAATATTACGACACACTGCCCACAGGTTATAGTGGCTATACGTAACGAAACTTTAAAGTAGCATAATTTAACACACAAAATGATGGTGAAAATCCTTTGCTGCCTATATATACGTTAATTGTGTAAAATAAGACAAAAAATATCTAATTAACAACTTAAGGTGTATCCCGGGTGCGTAAAAACCTATGAGGATCAAAAATATCGAATTTCTCTTTTTAAACAATTCACTGAGAGAGGTTTAGTGAACGGGGATGTGTATTTCCCCGTTCACTAAACATGGAGTTTCTGTCGGAGTCAAAGTGGAGCGCACTAACAGAGAGTGGGGTGTCTCTCGTCTCTGCATAATAATAGACCTGCAATAAACTTCCCCAACACGCACACGCATACACACATTTTGTTTTTAAGTGATCTAAGTGGCAGTCACATGTGACTGACATTCTGCAGTGTTTTATGTGAGCGGGTTAAAGTCTGACAGCGGAATAAACGGACTCTTCGAGCCCAACAAAACCAAAACTGCACAAAGTTGTAGATGAAAACTTCTTTATTTTGACTTTCGCCAGTGACATTTCACTCCGAGGTCTTTACAGGGAGTGCAGAATTATTAGGCAAATGAGTATTTTGTCCACATCATCCTCTTCATGCATGTTGTCTTACTCCAAGCTGTATAGGCTCGAAAGCCTACTACCAATTAAGCATATTAGGTGATGTGCATCTCTGTAATGAGAAGGGGTGTGGTCTAATGACATCAACACCCTATATCAGGTGTGCATAATTATTAGGCAACGTCCTTTCCTTTGGCAAAATGGGTCAAAAGAAGGACTTGACAGGCTCAGAAAAGTCAAAAATAGTGAGATATCTTGCAGAGGGATGCAGCAGTCTCAAAATTGCAAAGCTTCTGAAGCGTGATCATCGAACAATCAAGCGTTTCATTCAAAATAGTCAACAGGGTCGCAAGAAGCGTGTGGAAAAACCAAGGCGCAAAATAACTGCCCATGAACTGAGAAAAGTCAAGCGTGCAGCTGCCAAGATGCCACTTGCCACCAGTTTGGCCATATTTCAGAGCTGCAACATCACTGGAGTGCCCAAAAGCACAAGGTGTGCAATACTCAGAGACATGGCCAAGGTAAGAAAGGCTGAAAGACGACCACCACTGAACAAGACACACAAGCTGAAACGTCAAGACTGGGCCAAGAAATATCTCAAGACTGGTTTTTCTAAGGTTTTATGGACTGATGAAATGAGAGTGAGTCTTGATGGGCCAGATGGATGGGCCCGTGGCTGGATTGGTAAAGGGCAGAGAGCTCCAGTCCGACTCAGACGCCAGCAAGGTGGAGGTGGAGTACTGGTTTGGGCTGGTATCATCAAAGATGAGCTTGTGGGGCCTTTTCGGGTTGAGGATGGAGTCAAGCTCAACTCCCAGTCCTACTGCCAGTTTCTGGAAGACACCTTCTTCAAGCAGTGGTACAGGAAGAAGTCTGCATCCTTCAAGAAAAACATGATTTTCATGCAGGACAATGCTCCATCACACGCGTCCAAGTACTCCACAGCGTGGCTGGCAAGAAAGGGTATAAAAGAAGAAAAACTAATGACATGGCCTCCTTGTTCACCTGATCTGAACCCCATTGAGAACCTGTGGTCCATCATCAAATGTGAGATTTACAAGGAGGGAAAACAGTACACCTCTCTGAACAGTGTCTGGGAGGCTGTGGTTGCTGCTGCACGCAATGTTGATGGTGAACAGATCAAAACACTGACAGAATCCATGGATGGCAGGCTTTTGAGTGTCCTTGCAAAGAAAGGTGGCTATATTGGTCGCTGATTTGTTTTTGTTTTGTTTTTGAATGTCAGAAATGTATATTTGTGAATGTGGAGATGTTATATTGGTTCACTGGTAAAAATAAATAATTGAAATGGGTATATATTTGTTTTTTGTTAAGTTGCCTAATAATTATGCACAGTAATAGTCACCTGCACACACAGATATCCCCCTAAAATAGCTAAAACTGAAAACAAACTAAAAACTACTTCCAAAAACATTCAGCTTTGATATTAATGAGTTTTTTGGGTTCATTGAGAACATGGTTGTTGTTCAATAATAAAATTATTCCTCAAAAATACAACTTGCCTAATAATTCTGCACTCCCTGTATGACAACTGTGTCTTCATTTGGGATACACACATCTACTCCTCCTCACACAGTGACCCAAATACACGCGTTCAGATTTTCTTTTTCAGTCAGTCTGCATCCATGCCTTCATACAGTGCTCTGGTAGTACTCATGTAGTCATGCCAGTAAAGCTATTAGGATTAAAGTGAACTGAATACTTCAAGCATACATTTCCACTCTGTCGGTTTATGACTACAAGGAGACAGCATGTGCTGCAGGATGTTGCTATTTTATAGATGTAAAGTAAGCACATTTATTTAATCTCATTCTCAGTGCCATACACGCCATTATGTATATGGTACTGTAAGTGAACATAATGAGAGGCTGGGACACAGCACGCAGTTTGAACGACACTGCAGCTCCATCTACTGATGCCTTGCTGCACAGCATTTGTCAGTAAAGGTTACCTTTAACCTTTAACTTTAATTTTAAAAGTCAAATCAAATAAGAAACAAGTCACTTTCAGTCACTTCAAGTCTTCCGCACACTGTTTTTTTCTAACCCCTTTCCTGAAGCTGAATCTGCATTTTGGAGAAATGTCTACAAATATAAAGAGGACTCTCCTCGTGAGAATCCGTGTAATTAAAAATAATCAGATTGATTTCGGCACTAAAGAGAAAAACAGGTCAACCACCTATTCTGGGACATGACCTACAGCTTCAGAACTACAGGAGCGGCGCAAGCATGATGTGTGTCAGCTGAGACTGGTTTACTGCCAACTTGTGATGCTCGTGTAGAAACACAAGGAGGCGCAGTTTATCCGTAGCGCTCGACACAGTCAAAGGAAAGGGTAAAAAAGACGAAGGGTGGGGTGGGTGAGAGCACAGAAAAGTTGGACAAAGTGAGATGAAGGAGGGAAAATAGAGAGGGTGAAAGAGAGAGGGAGTGCCCAAGTAATGGATACAGAGAGAGAGAGGGGGGGGGAGTGGAGAGAGAAGAGAGGGGGGGACTTGTCCCTAGAGGATATGAGCAATAGCCATGCAACAGGGAGCAATGCCTGAGAAAGTCGGCAGCTCCTCGCTGGATTAACAACAGCCTCACTTCTTATTGCCTACAGTGCCAGAATTCAGCAAAACAACCAGCCCGTTCTCTCCTGCAGGGGAAGCGGCAGCTGACGGAGCCTGAGCTGATTGCCTGGAAGCTGCTCGGGACAAAATGCTAAATATTATTTTTTAAAAA